ACAGTATTTTGATGAAAAATGTGGTGGTAACATTATAGAAACGTGCTCTAATAAGGAATATGTCCATACCTAGCTGCAATACATTGGGAGCAGCGACATTCCATACTGCAATTAAATCGTCGGTCAATAAAATGGGAAGCAATGATCAGACATAAAATAATCCTTGTTCAAGCTTATCTAACGGCATTGGAAAAAAAAAGCAGCAACCTGTCTCCCAAGGTAGTCCCAAAGATGCATTACCGAATTCAGGTCCCACGATTGAGCTGGCCTTTCCATTCGCTCCATACTGTGATCCTCAAGATATTGTTCAGCAACCCGAGCTCGGTGCCGTCGCGCGTTTTTATCCAACAGAATAAATCCAGGACCAATAGCAGCGGCACATGGGCAGACATAATGATCAAGAATCTTGTCTCGATATCTCGCATTGGTAAAAGTTCCTGCATGGAACACATGCAGGACTGAGTGACCACTAAGAGAGATCCCAGCCTAAACCATTGTTCTACTATTTCTGTAACTGTGTCTTTCCACAATGTGGAATTGGGTGTATCTGGTGCGTTATTTCGTCCAGATCAGCTGACAACCTCAGATCTTTTCCATTGGCTCCTCAATCCTTCTCCATTTTCCTTCTTCATTGCCTCGTCAGTCCTTCTCCATTGACTCGTCTGTGAATTGAACATATGCCCATTGTTAACTGGTCCACGAAACTTGTTCTCTTGCCAGGACACAGAAGTGCTCTTAAACGAGCACTTCTGTGTCCTCAAATCAAAGGGACACAAACAAGTGGTCATCTTGCATACAGACCTGTATTGTGTAGGCGTCTGTCAACTGTAGTAGCTGAGATTCTTGTTCCAGTTGCCACTAAATGATCTGCCATGAGCTGTGGCACAGTAATGTTGCTGTTCCTTCTAAATAACGGTCTTCCGCCAGGTGGTGTAACATTTAAACTGCCTGGAACATGTCATCTAGACACAGAATCCTCGGATTAAGACTGATTTCCTTAGTCGGTGGTCCACATTACGAGAGACATTGAGACGTCTAACAGCGTCAGCTTGTGACATCCCCATTTCGATCCACCCGATCGCCTGCCACTTCAATCATTTGGGTAAACGACTTCTCTTGGACATTGATCGACTGTCCTGGATATTGTCAACGAATTGCTAATAGCAACTAAGAGAACGCTCGTGAACAAAACTTACAGTTTTTTCATTTTCTCTTTAACTTCTATATAAGTACTAACTTCTATAAAATCTATAAAATAAATGTATTATCTATTCTCTTTGCATATATTTCCTTAAGCTTCGTTACTATCATGTATGTAAGCTGAGAATTTAAATGTTACTGACATTTTTGTACTGGTTTTGAAAAACATGCTGATCCTTAACTTTTGGACGGCACTCTATATGGGTTATCTTTAATAAGTTTTCACTAATGCGCTACCAGTTTTAGTTCTCGTGTGCTCTTCCATAATTTTACTAAAATGTTAATTAACAGCCTGCATAAATTAATAAATGTTTTTATAAAGGGTAAGTATAAATAGTTTTTACAAAATAAGAGGTGTGATACTACCCGTCTAGTTGAGCAATAATTACCATGAAACATGAATTCACATTTCACTCTGAGAGGTGGAATATCTTACACGATTTTTCGGACGTCGCGGACTTGTGGCTTGGCCTCCTAGCTCACCGGACATCAACCCATTGTACCCCTTCTGAGGGCATATGAAATCTTTAGTGCAGGAGACGCCTGTGCATTTGGTCGAAAATATCACAGCAATCACAACTAGGTAGTTATATCACAACTTAAACTGTTACGTCCAGAACGTGTCGTAACAGTTCAAGTTGTTGCAATAAATAAAATTGTATAACATCGATCGCATAGTTAAGTAATTTTATTATTGGTATTATTTTAAGTTTATCACATTGTTTACATCTTCTGTTACTTAAGTTTCTCCTATTTTAACACATAATACGTTTGTAGGGATTTATATTTTTTAAAATAACCAATTTTATTTAATTTGTTATTCTTTCCTATAAGCCTTATTCCCTTAATTGTCAATGCCAGAATATTTAAATTAGGTAGCTCGCGTGAAGTAATGCAAATTCTACCTTGAAGAAAGAGTTTAAAAACCGAGGTTCAGTGGGAAAGAGAAAGTTAGGCTATTGCCGTCCCTCTGTTGCGCAAGCATCTGCTCCCAGAGTTATTACTGGTTCGTGAGGCTTAACTGTATTTACTTGCTGCCACTAGTTTTCGACGGGGCTTTAAGAAACAGGAATTATCTGAGCCCTGTAAATCTTCAAGTCTTTAGTTACATCTTTGAATTCAATTACCGCTCAAGCATAGGCGTAGTATGTTAGCGTCGAGATGACGCATTGTAAATTTTAAGAGTGTAATAAAGGGTACTTTTAACCCTTCTTTCTGTGCAACAACTATTCCAGTTCTCACACAGGAGTTAATCAAGTGGACTCTACATGTTTTAATAATAAAGTATGATTTAAAATCGTGACAAATAATTTTCATTCAACATTCACCATTACTGCAAGACCAATGTCAACATTTGCCGGTGTAAGTGGGACCAAAGCATATTTAACAAATATTTCGGATATACACCATATATATTCGGATATACACCCTATATACTTTCCAAAATATTCTTATACAAATACAAAACATATTATACAAATATTTCGGAGAGTGCAACTATATGAATGCTGACATTCATCGAAATATGTTGACATTCTCTAGATTTTGGTCTTTCACGGTAACATATTTATTAATTCTTCTGTTAAATGAAAGCACAGTGTCAGCCGTCAAACTGAGTTCAGCCTCTAACTAATATAAATTCATTACATACATATTATTCGACCAAAGAAATAAGCCTTTTAATAAATGATGAAAAAACGGCTTTTAAGGTTTTTTTCCCTCTCTGTACGGTGTGCCTTCGTGGTGCAACTGGAAATATTGTCCGATTAGCACTCGAAAAGTTCGGAATATGAATCCCGGCGAGGACATTGCTCATTTTTCATCCAGATAAGCTTAATGACTGTACAAGGTTAGATTAGGTTAGTTGAACATGACAAAGCACACGAGGGCTATTTGCCTAACATGAGATAGGACTTTCCAAGCAATCTCATTTAATAATCTTTCTGAAGAAGAACACAGTGAAATCGGTTGACTCGTACAAACGCTGAGATGAACGATGTTCTCTGAGTGTTAAGATTAGGGGTACAGCATCCATCAAATAATTGTCAGAAACATTATGAACATCTACAGTTCGTAGATGAATATTTGCATAATAATTTGAGATAGTCAATTATTAATGACATTCTTTCCTAATTAAAATCTTGTGAAAGTATTTATATGCTTCAAGATATATTTAATCAGTTTAATTCCATTGCTATTTTGAAGAATATTTTCTCATCGCTTAACGTTTTTCATTTGGTTAATATTACCAAAATAGTGATGGACACACGCGATTACATTAAATTGTTCCTACTCCACACATTTAACAGAGCTAGGCGAGAGAGAGTGCAACTGCGAGTGTCGCTACCAGAAGCTATAACATAATAAAACTTTCGAGAACTCCGCTTTAAATAATCTTAACTCATTTGCATTCTGAGGAAGACTACATACAAGAAGAAGTTATATTATAGATCGAAATCATAATAAAATGGGTTAATTAACTTAAGCCATTTTTATTTGTTCAAAATACAGAGAGGTTTGATGGTGGTATAGATAGCTAGAGATTAAAGGTATTGAAAATATAAACTTTAATTAAACTAATAAATCTTTTAATATAATAATCACAGTCATTTTGTCAATCTTTGTTTAGGGTATCGTCCAAGAAACGAAAGTTTCAGAAACAAACCTAAAATATACTTCTTTAATAATTTTCGTTATTTTTATTCAAGATTTACTTGAACATGAAATCTTGAAGTGTTCCTCTTGGCTTCTAACTACTGACATATACCTTTCGAATTCTTGAAGGGTCTAAATCACAAATTACTTTAAAATGTATATATTTTACATTTTTGCCTTTTTACTTAAACGATATATTTTTTGCACAACTTCTCTCCGGCATAAAATGAAAGAATCCGTCATAAGAAGAAATGAATTTTTTCTGTCATTATTATAAGTTTATAGACGTTTTCAACAGCATCATTTGTATAACTGTTTGAGCACTCTCGACGATAAGATTTGAAATTTGACCCACTTTATAATTTCCCTCATTTTACATGTAAAACTTCTAGTTTTTTTCCCTAGGAATTGCGTGACTGAATGCAATCTAAACATTGGTTCGTCTATTCTGAAGTTTCCTTTGGACATTTAGATGAACCTTCAGAATTGTCGCCACGATAATATATGTTAAGCTTTCTTAAAGAATGCAAGAAATGTTTGAGATTTTGAAACCGCACTATTCCTATATGTGTATTCATTATAATTACAGACTTAAATCTCAAATAACTCCGGGAGTCCTGAGGAATTTGAAACTTCGCAATGTAGTCCAGGGCTCATTTGAGTGCAGGAATACATAGCATCTGAAAGTTAGTAACTGTAAATTCCTTTGTATATAGCTTAGCTTTGAAATATGAAATAAAAACTATGGAAGCCGAAAAATGTGGTAATTTGAAATTTTTAACTCAAATTACCATCTACATGAGTGTCGAGACCTTCGCTGCACAATAACAATTTCTATGAATTTAGAACTATGATTTTGAATGCTAAAATTAAATTATAATGTTTTTTCTGATTTTGGAGGATCAATACTTAAATGTTTCCAATCTCAATTTTTATGTTAAAAAATGTAACTGATAAATATTCAGTTCAATAAGAAATTGTAGTTGTTGAAACTTCAAATGTAAAACCAAATTATAATTCTTGCAATCGAATACTTCTGATAACCTGAAGTATGGAGATTTGTATTTTCATTTGTTACATATATGTAGATCTAATAACTGTTATATAATTTTTCTTTCATCTTATGCAAAATTTAATAGGTTGACATGTTTAAAAATATGTCTTTTTCTCCTTCTCCGCGCATTGTTTACTCAAGACAACTTCAGGTGCCCCGAATCACCATGCATAAGAACTTGTTTCTTTCTCTTTTCCTGAATGGCGTCGTGGTGGTCCTTTTCAAGTCCATAGTCATTGTAGATGAACTCAAGCGGTCGAATACTTATCAAACTATCATGCAGAGAAATGGAGTAAGTACTTGGAGAATGTTTTCAATATATTATCAATATAAACATATACCTTAGTGTACATAGAGCGTTAGTGTATATACAGGAGGGATTCAAAACTATCTGTTAAAAATGGAAAGACATGCAGAATGAATCGAAGTGAGCAAGTTTTATAATGCAATGCATGTGTAAAAATGGAGAGTTGTAGTGGTACAGGGGGCTGTTGAGCAGTAACTAAAAGCATCCAGTTGGCGTAAATCGTCAATTCCCTAGCAAAGTTCGAGAGGTATGCATCATTACACGAAAGAGGAACTCAAAGGTATGCGTTTTATGTGTGGGGCTGCGAACGGAAACGGAGCAGGTGCTCGAATGTACTCTGGAATCATTCTCTGCTGTGCTTCAAGTAGCTGATGCGTTTTAAAAACAGCCTGTTAAATAAAATGCCAGTCGACGAGATATGTGTTCCGAGTAGTTATGCATACCGTTCTGTGTCAGCATGGGGGATGGCGATTTACGCCAACAGAATGTTTTTATCGGCCACTTGACAGAGCCTGTATCACTTCAAAATGCCATTTCTGCACACTTGTTCTGTTAGAAAAATCTGCTTATTTCGGTCCTTTCTGCATGTCTTTATATATCTGCAGATGTTTTGAAAACTTCCTGTTTGCTGTCGTATCTCAATATAATAGGATGTTGTTCAATAATTTTTAAGTTATCTTAAATCGAATTTTATATAGGGCTTAGTAATACAAAATCTTATATGAAAGAACTAGATTGTGTAGCCATATGAATGAAACAAAAATTTCATTTTCAATTCTGCTACTGCAGAATTGCATTTAAGAACTTAATAGACAATTTATTATGTCAAGCTTGCTGGTTTTGTAAAAGCTTTTAAACATTTTATTAATGAATTTTTCTCTGCACTATTTTACTTTGCTCTTATCACCGCAGCAGTAGCAATTGCTGTGTACCAACAACAATGGTATTACTATAAAACGTAAAATGCTGCAGTATTACGATTTCATTGCAGAATATTCGAAACTAATTTACCTTTTCTTCTTTATTTTTTCAAGTGTATTGGATAACATACTGTATTAGATAACAGGCAATGACAGCTATTAGCATGCTTTTATCCATAGGCTATAACAAAGATCTGGAACGAGAATGTTGTTTATCAAAAATACATTTTAATACGATGATATAGGTTATCATGTTGCTAAGGAAAATAAGAACAATAAAATTACAAAAATTATTGCACTTTCATGCAGCATGTTATTATTCTGTTTAAATAAGAATCCTGAAACATCATTAACATCATGCAAGGGTTTTACTCTTTTACTGTACTGGCAACCTACGCTTGTTAGTTTTTATAAATGCTCATATGCTTTATGCCAAGTAGCATTTACTTTTAACTTTGAAGCAAACAACGATAATTACGTTCAGCTTCAACGCAAGCATTAACCAGTCTTCACATTAGTATTTGAAATTCATGTCACTTACATTCTGGGAAAAAACACCCAACTTAGGAGAATCAGTAAAACTGATTTGACAGGGAGCTGTCAACCTAAGAAATATTAACATTTTTCTTGATTGAAAAATTCAGTGGCTTAAGAAATCAGAGATAGGCTCAAACAAATGGACGGATTATGTTGTTCTCTCAGGCCAGAAAAAGAAAATAAAAGTCTCTTACAGGGACAAAATCAGCTTCTTTCTTTGCTAAACTGTGTGAAAAGCGAAAATAGCGACTGTAAAGACAATTTAATGGTCTTACTTGCTTAATAGAAATCGTTGCTAATAGTGACTTTTACATAAATTATTATTATTTTGATATTGGTAATTTGTCCGTTACATTAACTGAAGTTGTGGAAATAGTTCATAAACATTATTAACAGTTAGATTTGAGTTAAACTCCATCCTACCTTTCTTAACTCCTATCACAATGCAAATTTCTTGGCAAGAGACACAGTTTTAAAAGTGGTTGTTTAAGCTTAATTGTAAGCCTATTGGAGCTTTCGTCATGTCGCCGCTGTATCTTATAGATAATTAATGCCTGCTGTGCTCGTGAAAGGTTAAAGCTTAAGTAGTCACTTTATAGTTGGTAAGTGCTTTACAGGTTTAGAAACAGGGTAGATAACTAAGTGTTTAGTTGTGAATTTAGAATCTTGTTCGTAAATAACTAAATTTTGCCAGGAGGTCACATCATTTTATAAAATGGTTTATACGATAAGCCATCGCTCAACTTATTCAACGAATCACTCGACTAAAACAAGTGTTAATATTGCATTCGAAATCCACTGGATGAATCGTTGTTTTAGTTTGCGTCAATATTTAAATTGAAAACCGCCAGGAATTGCTAAATATAAATTTACAATTGGATTGAAATTTTATTTGAGTTTTGGGGAGACAGTTTAATAATTGTTAAGGACAATAATTTGCCAAGTTACGATAATTTTATTATAGCTATAAGGTTGAGTATCCAGTTCACGCCCCAGACGTAATTCATCTTTAATGAAACAATTACCACAATGAGAAGATTTTATGTTAATGGTGGACACCATTAAATGGAGAAAACTGCACTGAAATGTTCCCTTGACTAATGGAAATAGCATTATAGCGTTGGTTAATCCAAATGATAATCCATTTTGGAAGTAACATTTGAAATCTGGAACTCATATCACATAGTTTTATGGACTTCTGTTGCAAACGATGGCAGTTTTCTTTGGTACATTTCATCAGCAACAGTATGAAATGGAACGGAAATACGGGTTATAAAGGAAAATCGAAACAGTAAATCTTCGATGCTTTTAGTTTAAATGCCAATTAATGGGCTGTGATTTCACTCTGTATTGATTCTTAAGATCTGCACGTTTTACAGATTTTAAGTGTAAATTTTACAGAGTGATTTTAAGTGTACAGTTTAGCAATTTTACAGAGTGATTTTAAGTGTACAGTTATCTGGACATTTACATATTTTTATATTTTTTGGAGTTTTGCACCATAGTTCATGTAATTGCAGTTACGTTGAGGCTGAAGTCTTAAGAACTGAATTCTCACTATAACGTTATCTACTCGAAATAATGCATACTTAAGTAGTAACTTGAATGTGAGACAGTAATAGAATATCACATTTGCATTGTGATAAAGTAATGGAATATCACCTGCAAGCAAGTATGCTAGTTCTATCCAGTACCCAATATGCATTAATTAGTATACTAAAATATATAAAAGATTTTACTACAACCATGTTGGGTTACTTAAAAATTAGCGATTCTCTACATAAACAATATAATGCATTTTTGCATTTTCAACACTTGCTTATTTCTAATACAATAAACAGCTATTATTATGATAAAACTTTCGGAAAATATTTATTATTAATCTCTGAATTCTAGTCGGATAATTACACAAATATACTATTTCCATTTCAAGATGTATTCTGATAATATTACTTGTTGGAAAATTAAACTAATCAGCACTTTCAAAGTAACAAGATTTGTAATGGTAGAAACATAATCTGATGCAGTTAAGCAGCATTATGTAGTGATACAGTATAACGTCCGTAACCCGGACTCGTCGGGAATTCGGCGATTTTGAATTAGGGTTTTTTTTTTTTTTTTCGAATTATAGCTCATCAATTTAAATCTGGTAAGATGGCATTCAGAAATTACGCAATTAAAAATATGAAGCCGTAATTTATGAAATAAAGAGCAATTATGATTTAAAGGGTATCAAATTTTACAAAAAAAGCTTAATATTTATGTGTTTACTTTATTAAACATTTCTTTCAACGCGCGCATGCGTAAATTACGCATAGTCGAAATTAGAAAATTGCAACCAGAAAAATTATTTGATGTGTATTCGTGATGTTTATAACGACCAGGAAATTGATTTAAATCGTATCAAAGACGGACAACATCGCGATGAATACTACATTTAGCCGAATAAAATAAAAACATCTGCCCTGAAGATGATGCCGCAACGTTCCACCCCGCAGAGCAGCGTGAAATTGATAAACAGATTTCGGAATGGTTAGAGAAACAACTCATTAAGCTGTTCTGATTACGCAAGTAATATCGCGCTAAGAAGAAAAAAAAATGCGGTTCATTTCGACTATGTCTGGACTTAAACGACACTTAAAACCTGGTGAATCCCTTTCCGAATATTTAATTGCCATGCGCGAAATAGCCAGCCGCGGTTCTGTTGATGATTCATCAATTCTTGATTATGTAATCAATGGGATACCGGATCAGCGTAGTAACAAAATTATGTTGTATGGGTGTAAAACTATTTCTGAATTCAAAGAGAAATTAAAAATTTATGAGAAAATCCGCGTTCCAGATACGAAGAGTAAGGGTTATTCAAGTACTAACAAACAAAATAAAGCACGCACTATACCTAATAAGATTACGGAACCAAGGTGTTATGGCTGTGGAAATATAGAGCGTGTAATGTATGTGCATTCTTTACGCACACGCGTAAAGCATACAAAAAAAAGTTTGTGGCTTATACAAAAAAAAGATATACATATATACTTTTAAAGATTTTATTTTTAAAAAAAGGGCACAAAAACACCACTCTAAAAACAGACTTCGAAGAACATCTTGGAAAAAAAGTCATATACCATAAAAGAAATATTTCATTCCGAATTTTAACGTAAAAACCGTTTCTAATTTTAAGTTCTTTACTTAGGTACTCTCATCCATGAAAGAGGACAGCTTAGTCCAATGTACAAGAAATTATCCTGAAATATTATCAGGATTATATCAGGATTATAGATCATTCCGGATAATGGGCGTCCGGATTATGGACTTTGTACTGTAGTTGAATAGGCGTTACTACTATAGCCGTTATTATAATATAACCGTAGCTAAAGGCTATATGCCCTTTCAAATGTGCCTTTTACAACACGCAGCGTTTCTACACGACATTTGTTTTTTTTTAGCTACTGTTTCTCTCCAGTCTGTATATGTTCCACAGTTGTACAGTTGTGCAATAAACGCTGTAAGTCACCAATTTGCTCATAG